GTTATGCAAATCTTTCCACATCGTGACGTAGACATGTGGGGCGTGTTAGAACGAGCCGTTTTAGGTAGGCGTGGTTGACTCTTAACTTTTATAAAGAATATCTCTTTGGATTTGAGACTTTAGTCTTTGCAACTTTAGGGATCTTATCTATTCACGAACAGCTTGTAACACTCCAAAGAGAAAGGAAAACTTGAAATCGCATCATATGACCCCTTTAAGCTAAAATACGCTTAATTTTCTTTATGCAAAATAACATTTCTTTTTTGATGTTTATATGACCTCGACATGTTTTTGATTTGTTCTGTTTTTCACGAGACAATTGTGAGATGTTTGCAAGATGTTTGTGAGACATTCATGAGATGTTTATGCGATGTTCGTGGGATGTTTGTGACGTTCATGAGATTTTCATGAGATGTTCACTAGATGTTCTTTAGATGTATGTGAGACGTTTGTGAGATGTATGTGAGACGTTTGTGAGATGTTCGCAAGAAGTTCACAAGAAGTTTGCGAGATGTTTGTGAGACGTTTGTGAGATGTTCGTGAGATGTTCTTTAGATGTTTGTGAGACGTTCGTGAGATGTTCGTAAGATGTTTGTGAGATGTTCTTTAGATGTTTGTGAGACTCACCAGAAGTTTGCGAGATGTTTGTGAGACGTTTGTGAGATGTTCACTAGATGTTCTTTAGATGTTTGTGAGACGTTTGTGAGATGTTCGCAAGAAGTTCACAAGAAGTTTGCGAGATGTTCGCGAGATGTTTGAGAGACGTTCGTGAGATGTTCTTTAGATGTTTGTGAGACGTTCGTGAGATGTTCGTAAGATGTTTGTGAGATGTTCTTTAGATGTTTGTGAGACGTTTGAGATGTTCGTAAGATGTTTGTGAGACGTTTGTGAGATGTTCTTTAGATGTTTGTGAGACGTTTGTGAGATGTTCGCAAGAAGTTCACAAGAAGTTTGCGAGATGTTCGCAAGATGTTTGAGAGACGTTTGTGAGATGTTCACTAGATGTTCTTTAGATGTTTGTGAGACGTTCGTGAGATGTTCTTTCGATGTTTGTGAGACATTTGAGATGTTCGTAAGACGTTTGTGAGATGTTCTTTAGATGTTTGTGAGACATTTGAGATGTTCGTGAGATGTTCGTAAGATGTTTGTGAGATGTTCGTGAGATGTTCGTAAGATGTTTGTGAGATGTTTGTGAGATGTTCTTTAGATGTTTGTGAGACATTTGAGATGTTCGTAAAATGTTCGTAAGATGTTTGTGAGACGTTCGTGAGATGTTTGTGAGATGTTCTTTAGATGTTCGTGAGACGTTTGTGAGATGTTCTTTAGATGTTTGTGAGACATTTGAGATGTTCGTGAGATGTTCGTAAGATGTTTGTGAGACGTTCGTGAGATGTTTGTGAGACATTTGAGATGTTCGTGAGATGTTCGTAAGATGTTTGTGAGACGTTCGTGAGATGTTAGTGTGATGTTTATGAGATGGTTGTGAGACGTTTGTGAGATGTTCTCTAGATGTTCTTTATATGTTTGCGAGACATTTGCGAGATGTTCGTAAGATGTTTGTGTGATGTTCATGAGATGTTTGTGAGATGTTCGTGAGATGTTCTTTAGATGTTCTTTATATGCTTGCGAGACGATTGTGAGACGTTCTTGAGATGTCGTTCAGATGATTGTCATGTACGCTGTTTAACTGTGTGACGTGTGGTTTGTCAGGCTGAAGACGGCGAGCATGTTATGACAGTGGAAGAGATTGAAGAGGCTGCTCAGATCTGGTCTGAAGGACTCAAAGCCTCTCCTGCAGTCACAGAGAGGAAACACCCAGTGTACGTCTATAACCTCATTACTGCACATGAAAGCCCTGTCAGCCGGTGTTCACTCAGTAACGTTATTGTGTGTTTTTCTCAGTCTCCCTCAGGAAGGAAAGAGAAACGTGCTGCTCACCAGCGCTCTGCCGTACGTCAACAACGTGCCGCACCTGGGAAACATCATCGGCTGTGTGCTCAGCGCCGACGTGTTCGCCAGGTAGCGCCGCTTTCGGATTCATCAGTCACTTATTTAACCCTCATAATGCATTTGGGTCCGTTATGCCCCGGAAGAGATATGTAAACATTTCTAAAAGAAAAAAAAAAGTCAGTAGTTTTAGTACGAAACTTTGCAAATGCTTTCTTTTTTTTTTTTTTTCAGATGTTTTACAATTATTTCTTAATATAGAGATATAATATTTAAAAAATGTTTGGGTCGTTTTTAACCCATTAAGTGTCAAAAATGCTTTCTGTAGAATAATCTTTAAAGTTAAATTAGTGTCAGAAAATCTTTTGTGAAATATATTTGGCCTTTTCCCCATATCTCACACACTTTTGGGACTGAATTTTTGTTGATAAACGTTGATAAACATGAATATGTATGCTAATGACAAAACATTTGCAGTTTGAAAAATTTAGCTTTTTATGATTTATGCAGGTGAAATGAATTTATTTAGTTTAAAAACATTTCAGAGTAATATTTATTTTGTTTTGATGTTTGTTTGTTTTTTTTAGAAATAAATATGTAGGTTTTATAAATTTGGACTGTTTTTGAGCAATCATGAGTTATGCATTTTATCAAATTATTAATTAAGTAAATTCCATTGATTCCAAAATGGTTAATACGGGTAATTTTTAGATTATATGTTTTTATAAATTTCATACAATGATATAATCAAATAAGATTTTTCATCATCAATATTGATATATATACATTTTTTTTTTTCATGTGTAATTTCAAGAATTTCTCAATTAATTAAAAAGGGGGTAAATGCAGTAATAACATGGTAACATTCCAAACTTAGAATGTTTACACATTTTCTCATTAATGAGGAGTTACTGATCAGATACAATATGGTTTTAGTTGAAAAAATTTACCTATGACTGTTTAATAAAATAATAATTTTTCAGGTCCAAAAGCTCCCAGAATGTGAAAATAGTGTACAGACTTTGAATGCATTATGAGGGTCAATATCTGCTGTCGATGCGTGCCGTCACATGGGTCAAAGACGAAAAAGGGTTTAAGCATAAAAACAATAAGTGCAATACTGCTTTAAATTGTTGTTGTTTTTCCCCAAAAAATTTAAAAAGTTTTCTGTTTAATTTAATTGCAATTTTATTTTATTTTTTCCGAGCAAAAAAATAAATATCATACATTTTTCCCTGATTTACAGAAGAGACCCACTAAAATGTAATTCAATGTAACAATCTTGTCAGGCATATTTACAACAAAAATCAATTTATGACATATTAAAAGACTAATTACTTTCACCCCAAATACTAATTAGTTGTACACTAAAAATGTGCCACTATACTAGGTTTTGCCATTTTATCAGTAAGAATTTTTTACTCATTTAAAACACAATAAAATGTAATATGCTCACTTATTCTTTTTATATATTTTAATATATGTACAAGTCAGAATAAGCATGTTGTTTGAATTTCTATATTGTGTTACACTGTTCAAGGGAATAATCGACAATTATGATTTTTGTCATAATCGTGCAGCCCTAATGACAACGTAACATTATTTCAACTAAATTTTGACATTTTATTCTCCAAAAACTTATTTGAAACCTTAAAAGTAGACACTTTACTTACATGTAATGTGCTTTCTATGGACATAAAATCACTTTTGTAAATTTCTTTTGATGCGGACATCTTAACGTCTTTGACTCGCATATAAACGCTCCTTTCTCTGCAGATACGGTCGTTTGCGCGGCTGGAATCTGCTGTACATCTGCGGTACGGATGAGTACGGGACGGCGACGGAGAACAAGGCTCGTGAGGAGGGTTTGATGCCGCAGGAGATCTGCGACAAATATCACGCCGTCCACGCCGACATCTACCAGTGGTTCCAGATCGACTTCGATTTCTTCGGTCGCACCACCACTGAACGGCAGACTGAGTAAGCACAGGCCTTACATTAACATCAGTTTCAACGGATGCATTTTTAGTGTTTATTTATGTTTTGAAACTGAAATTAAAACCATGAAGCGTTGCTTGAAATAAATTAAATGTTAACTGAAATGGGAGGGGGGGGGGGGTTATTTATTTTTCATTTCACGTATTAATTTAGTTTAACTTGATGTACCAAAAAAATGTAAAGCTGAAATAAATAATAATAAAAACTGGACATAAAAAGACATGACAAACAATTACTTTTTTAGTTTATGTATTTGACATTTTTTTTAATTTTAAACTTATTTTTCTTTTGTTTCTCTCCTTTTTATGTTATTTTATCTTAGCACCTCGATGATCTCGGGTTTATAAATAACGCTTTATAAATAAAATTTAAATTTAATTTACTTTATGATGTATTTTTTTTACTTTCTTTCATTTGTTAGTTTATCATCTTAAAATTGTACAGCACTTTAATAGTCTGTGGTTTTTAAAGTGCTTTAGAAATAAATTTTAAAATGTATTTAGTTTAATGTTTGACTATTTTCTTTTGTTTCTTTTTTATGTTATTTTATCATCTTAAATTTGCACGGCACTTTGGTGCACTCTGGGTTTTTCAAATTAATTTTGAATTTAATTTGATTTAATTTAGGCATTTGTTTTATTATAACAATTTTCTTTTGTTTCTTTTATGTTATTTTATCATAAAATTGAACAGCACTTTAGTGCACCATTATTTTTAAGTACTTTACAAATAAACTGCATTGAATTTAATTTTTTTAAACTTTATTTTCTTTTGTTACTTTTATGATATGTTGGTTATTTTGCACTGGTTTTTAAAGTTTAAATAAATCTTGAATTAAATTTAATATGCCAATATGTCATTGTCATCACAGCAGAAACATTTTATTTTTTATTTACTTATTTATTTTTAACAAATATCATATGCATGAATTGATTGTTGTTGTTTTGTTTTTTACTTTATTATGTAAAAGGATTCAGTGAAAGCCAACTTGTGATGGCATACAGAATTAAGTGATTTTGGATGTTAAAGTATATATTCAAAATATTTTAACTCTCATAAACGAAGGCTGTGAAGCTGCATGTTTATTATGTAATTATTTACATTATTTTTCACTTCTGTAGAGATTCGGGCACAATATAATTAGGGCTAAAGGTGTCCAGAAACGATCTGTAGGTTTTAAACCGTGAATGATTGTCTGTGGTCCTCAGGATCGCTCAGGACATCTTCTGGCGTCTGCATGAGCGGGGTTTTCTGCTGGAGGACACGGTCGAGCAGCTACGCTGTGAAAGCTGTCAGCGCTTTCTGGCTGATCGCTTCGTGGAGGGCGAGTGCCCTCACTGCCGTTACCCAGAAGCCCGCGGGGACCAGTGTGACAAATGCGGCCGTCTGATCAACGCTGTGGAGCTCAGGGTACGGTTCGAGACTGTCACGTCCGTCAGGGGCCGCGCACTGAACACATACGTCTTGAGATGCCTTTGGAGAAGCATAGAATTAGGGCTGGGCGATGTGGCAACACCGCATTTTCAGACCGATTCTCGATTTTTAACTTGAAAATGTAACTACAACATGATTCAAGTAACTTTTTCTTTATTAACCCTGTAGTTAAAGAAAGTTCTATTCCAAGTGCAGCACACATGAAGTTGTCAACATGATGTAAATGTTAATCAAATCACTTGTTAAATATCTTTGGAGAAAAGATGCATGAACTACATCTACATCTTGTACAAACTTGTCTTATACATATGTGACTCTGGAGCACAAAACCAGTCTTAAAGGGTTAGTTCACCCAAAAATGAAAATTAGCCCATAAATTACTCACCCTCAAGTCATCCTAGGTGTATATGACTTTCTTCTTTCAGACGAATCCAGTC